ATGGCTGGGCCGGAACCCTCGGGCCGGCAGAGGCAGGACGACCGTCGGCGGAACCCTCAACAGCAGCACCCCCAGAACCAACACCCCCAGAGCGAGAAACCCCTCCAACACCGGTGGCACCCCAAGGAGCCGCAGGACGAACACCCGCCTCCACACCAGCACCCCCAGTGGCCAAGAGCGGCGGCGACGGCAGCGGTGGCGGCAGCAGCGGCGACGGCGGCGGCGGCTGCGGCGGAGGCGGCGACTGCGACAGTGGAGGCGAAACACCGTGGTGTAGCGCATGTAGTCGTCAACGAGCACAAGGAAGTAGCGCTCACCTCGCGGTCCAGGGATGGGGGCAGTGCCCCAAACGTCGAGGTGCAGGGTCTGAAGGGGGGCAGTAGCAGGGCGCAGCGAGAAGGAGTGAGGAGCGTGGCGGAGCCGGCCCTCGACGCAAAGCGTGCACGGTGGAGCAGTCGAGGGGGGAAGGGCAGGGAGTGACGCAGGGAGACCTAAGACAAGACCGTACAGGGACATGTGACGCAGACGTGGGAGAGCAGGGTGACCTAGGCGGTGGTGCCAGAGAAGGGACGGGTGAGCGAGGGACCGACACGAGCAAGCTGCAGCGACCTGGGAGGATGCACCAACCGGAAGGGAAGCGGTGTCGAGGGTAAACAGACCGGACACCGGGTCCCGGGGGAACAACGCAAAGGGGGGAACCTGAGACAGCCTCAGAACAGACAGCGAACCGCTCGTGCCCGGGGAACGTGGTCGTGACGCCGAGGTCCTGGAGACAGCCGACACCAACCAGGTTCCTCGAGAACAAGGGAACGTGGAGGCCTGTAAGGGAGCCCGAGGGAACTGTTGGACAGGGAAGGGAAGTGGAGCTGCGAGCGACGACAGGACCCGTAGAGGGGTCAGCGAGAGAGACAACAGCAGGCGTAGCAAGCAGCGTGAGCGCGGAACAGTCGCGGAAGAAGCAGGCAGAAGCACCGGAGTCGAGAGTGAAGGATAGCGAAGCGGTGGCGGAGGCCGAGAACAGAGCCAGGCTAGGCAAACTAGGCAGTCCTACGCCTGACGCAGCAAGGGAGGCTAAGCTACACAACGGTGCAACACCTAAACTAGAGTACACTGGGTAATAAGATCCAGCAACACTAGAAGCGTCAGAATACAAGTCATGCAAAGCAGCACCTATCTGATCCATGTCTAACTCAAAGATCGGCACGCCCTGGCGGAGCAGGCTGTGCCAGTCGGGGAGGTCCGGGGCCGGGCCAAAGCGACGACGAAAGAGATCGTCGAGGCGGCGGAAACAGCGGGCGACGGCACAGAGTGCCGCGAAGAGTCCCGGTCTGAAGCTGGTACTGGCAAGTGACAGCACCGGAGCCGCTTGTAGACACCGAGCTGCGCGGGCCGCCACCACGGCCACTACCTCCGGAGGTGGCGGGCCAACCAGGCGGGAGACGGGCCCACGACTGCGGCGACTGCTGCTGGGACGGCGGCTGCTGCTGGGGCTGCTCCTGCTGCGGCTGGGGCTGCTGCTCCTGCCCACCGGTGGTAGTCCCCTCAGACGGACTACCATCACCACCACCACCTGCGCCACCACCCCTACCTCCCTGGCGGCCACGGCCACCGCGGCGCGAGCGCTGCTGCGGGTGGACCGCAGCAGCCGTCTCGGTGAGAGGGGTCGCCGTGGCGACCGCGGCCGAAACGTCAGTGAACGTGCACTGGGAGGGGGCACAACCGTGAAAGATAGAGACTGCCGGCGCACCGCTCGACTGAGCGATAGTGCGCTGGCGAGTCTCGATCTCGGTGAGGGTGTCGACAAAGGCGGTGAGGGTGAGGTCACCCGGGTGCTGGCCAAGGAAGTGATCGCGAGCATTAGCGAGGCGGTCTGGCAGGCGCATGGCGATAAAATAGAGCGTCATGCAAAAAGGGGGGGGAGCGCAGTGAGCTGGGCAGCAGTGCTGGCAGTGCGATTGCGGGTCTCTAGGGCATGCAGGTGAGTGGCAAAGTCTGCGATGGTAGGGATGGCTGCAAGGTCTGGGAACAGCATCGGGAAGAGCAGGCGGCCAGCAGAAGCAGACGCAGGTGTGGAATAGCGAGCAATAACGGCGTCTAAGTAGGCTTTGGCCATCTCAACAGTAGCAAAACGCGAGCGCTCAGACACAGGGAGGGCGTGGCTAATAGCAACCTGAGCGACTGCATCGCGGGAGTCCTAGACCGCACAGGCAAGTGCAGCAGTAGAGAAGGTCTCACGGTCATCAGAGGAGGGGTCAGCAGGGAGGGGAGCAGGTGCGGGGGGGCGGGGGAGCAAGCCATCGACATGAACAACCAAAGAGTGGCCATCCTGGCGCTGACCTGTAAGTTGGCGGCGGAGATCGGAGAGCTAGGCGGGGAAGTCAACCGCATGGCCCTCGGCGTCCAGTCGGAGCACGAAGTCAGCCATCGTGCAGGGTCAGCGGCACAGCTCCACAGCTCCGCAGGGACACAGCGACGCAGGGACACGGCGGCAGCACTCTCCAGCACGGCGGCCGCGAGGCACCCGGCCGCTGGCGAGCAGAGTAGACGGAGCTCGAGGTGGCACGGCAGGCCGAACAGGTACGAAGAGGGGCCGGGCGGGCAGTGGGAGAGGCCAGGCAGACACGGCGGGGCCAGGCAGGCGCGGCGGGGCCAGGCAAGCGCGGCGGGGCCAGGCAGGCGCGGCGGGGCCAGGCAGGCGCGGAGGGGCCAGTCAGGCGCGGCGGGGCCAGGCAGGCGCGGCAGGGCCAGGCAGGCCGCGACGGGGCCAGGCGGGCGCCACGGAGCCAGGCAGGCGCGGCAGGGCCAGGCAGGCGCGGCGGGGCCAGGCAGGCACGGCGGGGCCAGGGAGGCGCGGCGGGGCCAGGCAGGCGCGGCAGGGCCAGGCAGGCGCGGAGGGGCCAGGCAGGTGCGGCAGGGCCAGGGAGGCGCGGTGGGGCCAGGCAGGCGCGGCGGGGCCAGGCAGGCGCGGCAGGGCCAGGCAGGCGCGGAGGGGCCAGGCAGGCGCGACGGTGCCAGGCAGGCCGCGACGGGGCCAGGCGGGCGCGACGAGGCCAGGCAGGGCGCGACGGGGCCGGAGCGGGCGCGACGGGGCCTAGGAGGCATGACGGGGCCCAGGAGAGGCGCGACGGGGCTCGGAGGCGCGGCGGGGCCCAGGAGGGGTGACGGGGCTAGGAGGCACGACGGGGCCCAGGAGGGGCGCGACGGGGATAGGAGGCGCGACGGGGCTAGGAGGCGCGACGGGGCCCAGGAGGGGCGCGACGAGGCTAGGAGGCGTGACGGGGCCCAGGAGGGGCACGACGTGGCCAGGCGGGCGCGACGGGGCCGGGCAGGGCGCGACGGGGCCTAGCGGGCGCAACGGGGCCTAGGAGGCACGACGGGGGCCAGGAGGGGCGCGACGGGGCTAGGAGGCGCGGCGGGGCCCAGGAGGGGCGCGACGGGGCTAGGAGGCGTGACGGGGCCCAGGAGGGGCGCGACGGGGCTAGGAGGCGCGACGGGGCTAGGAGGCGCGACGAGGCCCAGGAGGGGCACGACGGGGCCAGGCGGGCGCGATGGGGCCAGGCAGGGCGCGACGGGGCCTAGCGGGCGCGACGGGGCCTAGGAGGCACGACAGGGCCCAGGAGGGGCGCGACGGGGCTAGGAGGCGCGGCGGGGCCCAGGAGGGGCGCGACGGGGCTAGGAGGCGCGACGGGGCCCAGAGGGGGATGCGGCGGGGCCTAGCTAGGGTACGGGCGGAAGCGGTAGGTAGGGGATTCTAACCTACGCGTGATACCATGTTAAAGTAAAAACTGAATAATGCAACTAGAAGGAGAAACCTAGAACAAATACTACTTGGTTGTACTCACTAGAAGCATACCCCAGTCTAGCCTATAACTTCTACATAGCTAATATGTATAAGTTGACACCACCCCCTTATCCCCTTTTATCCCAACCCTCTCCTATCCCTCAATCCCTTGTCTCCCCACTCTCTCCTGTGCCTCCATTCTTCTCGCTCCCCGATGTTCCCCTCCTCTCTGCTGTACCCCGGCTCGCTCTTGTACCCCCGCTTTCTGTTGTGCCCCGGGTCTCTCCTGTACGCCCGCTCTCTGCTGTACCCCCGCTCTCACTTTCTACTCGTCACCTACCATTTACCCCCTATCTTTTAGTTCCCCCCATTTCCCAACCCAAAATGGCACCCGTCCGTTGCAGTTCTGGAACTAGAGGTACCTGCGTCAGGTAGCCAAGAGTGTGGAAGTGCAAGTATGTTTTAGTCAAGAGTGCCAGTTGTATTATTAGTACGTCGTCTCACAAAAATTAGCACTTCAGTATTTTCCTTGCTCCTAGCATGCTATTATGAAGGTTGTTATTCTCATGCCCAATATTATGAAGAATACATCTGCGTATGTGTTTATCAGCATTTTCCATTGTGAGTTTCGCTGTTTTGGATTCGGGTCTTTGGCGCGTACCGTTGCACGCTTGAAAAGTCCTGGTGTCTGCGTGTTCGCACTTGGCGCACTCCCTTGTATTTGCAGTTCATTTCGCTCCAAGTTGTGCCATTAGCCCTGTAAGCTCACATTTTCGAGATGGTTGAAGAGGTACACTTCAACAAAAAGAACAAGCCCTAGTTGCAGCTTGCATTCTCAGTCGGAACTGTCGCGCGTGGATTTGGGGGCCTCGTCGCACATGTTCCGAAATCGCCCAACCTCCCCCAGGCGTTGATTATGGTGGGTTCGTTTCTGCCCAGTTGCCCAAAACATTCCCTGTCAATTTCGCTCTAGCAACCCAACTTTTTCCAGAGTGCCCCCACTTCAAGAGGGGCTCACTTGAAGCCCCCCTTAGCTATTTTAGCCTGTGGTTTTAAGACCGTGCTTAAAGTTTCGTCTGAATTCTCAGACATTCGCTAAGTCTTCATATGAAGGTAAGATGAAAGTTCAAAGCTTAAGTCTGATTTTCAGACGGCCGAAAATCCTAGCAAAGACCCTGGATTGGACGCTTAGCGGTTTTGCTCATTTGTAACCCGCAATCTCTAATTAGTCAAAGTGCTACATCTCATACAAACAGACTATGCAAATACATTTCTCTGAATTTTCAAACATTCGTTCTAGAATTCTCTGGAAAATCAGACAACTTTTTCATGCTTCTCTGATAGTGAAAAGTGCATCAGACAAAGTGCTCAAACCTTGTCTGATTCCTCAGACACGTTTTTTTCCAAAAGAGAACCCTCATTTCAAGCTTCATCGGAAGCAGGCCATCATCCATCTACTTAAAATTCTGCTCATACAACGATGCTTTCTTTTTCAACGTAACTTGTAACTTCCCTGGTTGATGGCTGGTTACAATGTGGTATACTGTTAACGCACCTGTTGATGTTAGAATCCTCAGACAAAGCCTGGCACAGTCCACACAGGGGAGGGAGGAAAGTGGGGGTGATCGGGCGTGGGGGGCGGGAAAGTGGGGTGGGGGGGGGGGAGTGGGGGGAAGGGGGTAAGGGGAGGGGGGGTGGGGGAGCAAAGAGCAGGAGGACGAGAAAACACAAGGGTAGGGAGAAGTGAAGCAGAAAGCATGAGGGACGAAAAGCAGGAATCCAAAGGCAAAGGACATCACACGGACAAAACAGCCCGACAGGCAATAGGACGAGGATTTGGCAATTAGAGACCAACGAATTGCACGGAGAAGCATAGGGCACCTCGATCAAAACATTGGCATGGCCAATGCATTGCGAAATAAGCATGATGCGATGACTTTTGAGTGGACTTGCGAGCAATAAGCGTGATGGGCAACAAGGGAACACGCAATGCCTTTGCACGCATGGTAGGAAGTAGGAGGGAAAATGGAGGACCTCCAAGCACGAGTTGTCACAACTTACTCGTTTGATTGAGGTGCATTTAAATGTGCTGGCAGCTGCTGCTGCTGCCAATGCTGTGGAAGTTGCTGCTGCTGCTGGGGGTGGTGCTGCTGGTGCTGCTGTTGCTGCTGGTGATTGTTGTGTGTGACCAAAGGGAAAGCAATGGCACAGATGCTGCGCAAGGGGGGTTTGGGCGAGGGGGAGGGAGGGAGGGGAGGAGAGAGGGTTGCAAAAGAAATCACGAAACTTCTTCTTATGGTATTGGGGGTACACTTCACCCAGCTTCCGTATAAAGAGTTGCAGTACAGAGAGGTAAGAGTACACAGAAAACAGTGAGTGAACGAGGGCACGCACATGCAAAAACAATAAAAAAATGTCCAACTATAAGGTTGCGCGGCAAGTTCGCTCGGAGGGACTGTCCGCCCCCATTATCCGATCGGCTAACTCTGGATCCCTCAACAGATCATTTGAAACGTACAAAAGCACACTGCACCTCATTGCACCTGACCTCCGGTCTGGTCCCATCGTTTCAACTTCCACTTGCCACCCGCCCTTACCACATAAGCCTACTCTTGAGTTGACTAAAATGTATGAATGCCTAATCTTGACTGCAGCTAAAATTGTGCTTTCACGCCATACAGTCACAAAATCAATCTTGCGCATATTGTCACACCACATCCACAATCACTACACCATATATTGTCACATCACCCTCTCACGTCCTGATACACCCCATACTCCCACAATTGCACATCACCTTGCTCTTGTTTGTGTCACTCCTTGCTCCCCCTGGTACAGTCACCCTGTACATAGTCACACAGCTGTGCCACTTGTTTCATCCGCATCACACCTTCCAAACACCCACCTTTCTTCCCCTGCTGCAGTCACGCCGTGCACAGTCACATCACTGTTCCTCCTGCCAGCACAACCTCCAGCAACGCCAGAAGAAGAGGAAGGAGAGGAGGAGGAGGAGGTGGAGGAGAGAGAACAGGAGTAGGAGGAGGAAGGGGGGGAGGAGGGGGAGAGGGAGACAGAGGAGGGCGCGGAGGGGGAGAAGGAGGAGGAGGGGGAGGAGGGGGAGGAGGAGGGGAGGGGGAGGCGGAAGATATGAGTGGTGCCGGTGCTACTGGTGACAGCGAGGGAGGGAGGGAGGGAGCCAGGAGGGGAGAAGGAGAGGGAGAAGATCGAGGCAGGGTAGGCACCTCGCCTGAAAGAGAATAGCTGGAGGGAGAAGGGAGGAGGGGTGGAGGAGAAGGGGGAGGGGTGGTAAGCGGTATGGTGGGAAGAAGTGAGAGTGCAAATGGCGAGGCTTGAAGAGGTGGAAGAAAGAAAAGAAGAATCCAGGAGAAATTAATGACCCGGAAACGCACGAGTGAAGGAGTCTATTTTGAGGCGCCTCAAAAATAGTCCAGGAAACGCAGGAGTGAAGGAGAGAGATCAGTGACCACGAAAGATGGTGCGCTTAGCAGATCAGTCTGGATTCAACGAACCATGCGGTGAGATACATTTCTGATGATTCTCTTTTTTTTAGATTCTCTTAGAGAATTTTAAAAAATGACTACACTTCGCAGATCTGTCTGAATTCAATGAACGCAACGAAGGGAGGGCCTATCCTTTCACTTGCCCCCACCTTGTTGCCTGCCCGGGTGCAGCGAACACGAATAATGGTGCCCGTAGCAGCTGCATTCCGTAATGGTCCGGATTCATTGAATGCAAACAAGGGCAGGTGTATCCTCTCACTTGCCCCCACCTTATTGCCTGTCCGGACGCAGTGAACGCGAATGATGGTGCCCTTAGCAGATGCTGACGCCAGCAGTTCTGTCCCTCCGCCCCCTCCCCCTCCCCCTTCCCCTTCCCCTTCCCCTTCCCCTTCACTCCCCGCTTCTCCTCCCCTTTCTCCTTCCGTTCCTTCCTCTCCTCCCCTCTCCCCCTGTGGGTTCGCCTCATTTGGCCGCGGAGGGGACTGGAGTGGTGGAAGCAGGGTGGTGATTTCAACGGCTGCGATCGGCCCGTCGTGAGCCTTGATCTGGAGGGAAGAGGATGGAAAGGGAAGGAAGTTATTTACGTCGCCTCTAAAGCAAATCAACGACTGCGATCGGCCCGTCGTGAGCCTTGATCTGGTGGGAAGCGGACGAAAAGGGAGGGAAGGCCAGAAGTCTCCTCTATCTTCATTTCAGCGTCTGTGATCGGCCCGTTGTGAACCATGATCTGGCAAGGGGGGAGGAGGGGGGGGGGGGGGTGGGTTTGGAGGGGAAAAGGCCCAGAAGGGGGGTGCGAAGGGAAACGAGACAGATTCTTACGGCAGCGGCAGCGGCAGCAGCAGGAGTACCAGCCATTGGAGTTGAGCTGGTTCTTGAGAATTGGAAAATATAAATAAATTATAATCCACGCACGAACGGCAGCGGCAGGAGTACCAGCCATTGGAGTTGAGCTGGTTCTTGAGAATTGGAAAATAGAAAGAAATTATAATCCACTTAGATGGTTCTTGAGCTGGTTGCACACACTGCAGCCTGTTTTTGAGGCGCCTCAAGAATAGACACCACAGCAGCAATGACAGCCATTGGAATCACGTACAGCTGTAACAACCCCACCTGACCAAACACACCTGACGGACCACAAACTCACCTGACCAAACGCCTGGAGGGAGATCAGATCCACCAGCAACAGCGCGCCTTGGTCAGGTGAGGCAGAGGAGGAGGAGGAGGAAGAAGCAAGCGAGGCGAGGGATAGGGGCAGGGATAGGAGTGGCGTGCGGGCGGGGGCAGCAGGGACAGCGCAGAAGCAGGAGGAGGCAGGGGAGAAGGGGCGAGGGGAGAGAGGGCTCAGAGCACATATACCTGGAAGGGAGAACGGAGAGGGGAGAATGGCAAGGGGGTGACTTTTGAGTCACTTGACTCAAAAGTCACTTGGAAAATGGCAAGGGGGGAATGGGGATGGGGAATGGGGATGGGAGAGGGAAACTCGAAGGGGAGAGAGAGGGAAACTCGAAGGGGAGAGAGAGGGAAACTCGAAGGGGAGAGAGAGGGAAACTCGAAGGGGAGAGAGAGGGAAACTCGAAGGGGAGAGAGAGGGAAACTCGAAGGGGAGAGAGAGGGAAACTCGAAGGGGAGAGAGAGGGAAACTCGAAGGGGAGAGAGAGGGAAACTCGAAGGGGAGAGAGAGGGAAACTCGAAGGGGAGAGAGAGGGAAACTCGAAGGGGAGAGAGAGGGAAACTCGAAGGGGAGAGAGAGGGAAACTCGAAGGGGAGAGAGAGGGAAACTCGAAGGGGAGAGAGAGGGAAACTCGAAGGGGAGAGAGAGGGAAACTCGAAGGGGAGAGAGAGGGAAACTCGAAGGGGAGAGAGAGGGAAACTCGAAGGGGAGAGAGAGGGAAACTCGAAGGGGAGAGAGAGGGATAGGACTCGAAGCAAAGGCTTTGTTTTAGCATATAGACTCTTAACTGCAGCGTTGGAAGTGCTTTGAAGGGCATCGATACGCGTCCAAGCTTCCATGACCCTGTTGCATTACTTAAGAAACCTCCGTATGTGTGTGTATGAATGTGTGAAGTGCCAAACACACACCTTTTGGATTAGGGGCGACAGTGAGGGAGAGGAGGAGAGGGAAGCCGGCAGCAATGCCCGGAGGAGTGACGTCATGTATGGAGAGCTTGGAGCCGAGGAGGACTAGCAGCCTTCGCTACAGGGACACAGAACAAGCAGAATGGCGGATAGCAGACAGCAGGGGGACACGAGAGGCATTTGGGAAGGGGGGGGGAGGCAGCCGGCGGCAATGCCATGAGGAGTGTGACACCATGTATGGAGAGCTTGAAATAGAGGAGGACTAGCAGCCTTCGCTACAGCGACACAGCACAGCAACGGCAACGGCAACGCCTTGAGGTGTATGAGATCAGTTAGCGATAGCTGGGACCTGAGGCGGACTTGCAGCCTTTTGTTTAGTCGACTCAAAAGTCAGATCAAGCACCGATAGCTGGGAACTGAGGAGGACTCGCAAGCAGCCTTCACTATGGGAATAGACGACACACACAGTGAAAGCTGCTTGGAATGGAAGCACGGAAAGAAGCGTAACAATGAAGCGGGGAGGAAAAAATGGCACAGGAGAGGTGTGAGTATGCGAGAGGCACTCTCTGACGCTTGTAAACGTTGTATTTTGAGGAGCAAGTGCAGTCCATTCTGCGTTCCAGTTAAATTCACCTTACCTGTTTCATCTCACCTTTAACCGGTTCATCTTACTTAACCTGTTCATCTCACACTAACCGGTTCATCTCACTTTAACCATTTCATCATACTTTAACCATTTCATCTCACCTGATCCATTCACCTCACCTGGAGTGGTTGAGGCGCACAGCAACAATGGAGGTGAGGAAGGAGAGCACACCGAGAGGAGCGAGAGAGGAGGAAGACGGCGGGGCATGTGTGTGCGTGAGGGGGTCGGTGTGGTGAGTGAGAGGAGAGCCGGCAGAGGAGGAGGGGGAGGAGGGGGAGAAGGTGGGAGTGGACGAGGAAACGGCGGGCCCAGTGATGGAAGCGAGGTGCAGCTCGCGTGGGGAGATGTGGGGCTGGAGAGCCATGGGGATGGGGATGGGGATGGGGATGGGGATGGGGCACCAGAGGAGGAAAGGTTGGGATTGAGGGGGGGAGGAAAACCGAGAAGCGGAAGTGGCAGGGGGGGAGAGGGAGGGGGAGGGACATGAACGAGGTGGCATTATGGAAGATGAGAGTACATGTGGCATGCCGAGTCTATTTTTTAGGCGCCTCAAAAATAGATTTCTCACGCATGGATTTTTTTTAGGCGCCTCAAAAATAGACTCCTCACGCATGGATTTTTTTTAGGCGCCTCAAAAATAGACTCCTCACGCATGGATTTTTTTTAGGCGCCTCAAAAATAGACTCCTCACGCAAGGGGGAGGGACATGAATGAGGTGGTATTATGGAGGATGAGAGTACACATGGCATGCGGCATGTGGCATGTGGTATGCGGCATGCGGCATGTGGCATGTGGCATGCGACATGTGGCACGTGGCATGCGGCATGTGGCATGTGGCATGTGGCATGTGCCATGTGGCACGTGGCATGTGCCATGTGGCATGCGGCATGTGGCACGTGGCATGTGGCATGTGGATGCGGCATGTGGCATATGGCATACGGCATGTGGCATGCCGGAATCCTTTTTGAGAATCCAAAAAAGCAAATCCCGAAACTGCCTTCAGAGGTTTCTGGACGGGGGCTTACCGTTTCTCCAGTGCCAACAAACGCGACCAATGGTGTTGCGCCACGTGGCGCGATAAGCGTGAGCTCCACGATCTTAATCGGGCCCACGCCCAGGTGGCTCACGACGGGCTGCGCCACGTCAGCACAGTGGAATATCTTGAAGCCTGCTGACGTGGCCACTGCCACGTGGCTGACCACAAGAGGATGGGTTTGAGGGATATAACTCTGATGAAAAAAGAGGCAGACAGCAACTGGAATCGCACACATGGAATTGCAGAGTCGTGTGAACTGGAAGGTTCCCAATTATTTGACATTATAGGCGTCCAACTTACGAAGCATGGCTAATTGAAAAGTACGAAATCATATTCAACTGTCCCCAACTTTCTTTTACCCAGGATAGTGGCTTCGCATGCACTACCTGCCATCAGCCGTGAAAGCAGCATAACGAATCTCCTCTATCGCGTATGCTCCTCCACCCCCCCTTCCAGCCGAGTCAGCCGAGGCTCCCCTTCCGCCTCCCCCCTTCGCCCCGCGACCGCTCGGAAACGCGCGACCCATCCAACGGTGCGGATGAAACCTAGGATTCAATCAGCACCATCCAACGGCGCGGATGAAACCCTGGATTCAAGCAGCATCATTGAACGCCGCGGATGACTCCTTGAAATCAGACAGCATCATCCAACGGTGCGCGTGGCTCCTTAGAGTAAGTTTAGCAGCACATGCGGGTAGCGCTGTGGGCGCATAGCCTTGTTGCGCTTCGTAGACTGCGCGGCGCGACCTAGACTGAGCGGCGCGAATTCTGGACTAGGCGCACAGAATCATCCTGTGTGGTAACTCTTAGAACGTGCACAGCCCGTGGTTGCCGCTTACATTTCCGCCTATCCGCCTAGCCGCCTAGTATGATGAAATTCGTGCTCGAGCCGCTGCACTGCTGATATGTTGAAGTCCAACTCCAACCCCAGAGTGCTCCATGCTGGTGGTTTCAGCGAATATCCTCGTTATGAGTTGAAACCAACAATAGTGCGTTATCACTCAAGCATCACAATCAAGTATGTAAGGTGAATTCACAACCAAACCAAGCAACCATCACGATAATTTACAACTCAAGCAAGCCTTGGCATGTGCTTTACTCCGTGTGGGGCTCCAATAAAGCGCCTGCCTTCTAAAGCCATGTATCCTACTCCTTCATATTATAAATTTATTGGGCCATTGCTTAATCCTAAGAAAGGTTATTCCATCTTCTGTAGCAGCATGTGGACGTCCGAGGCAAGGGCATAGTTCTCATTGCTCCGCCTCCTGAAGAATGTGAGGGAGGTTGGGGAGGAGGAGGAAGGGAGAGGGGAGAAGAGGAGGGGTTGGGAATAGAAGACAGGGAGGCCTAAGTAGGAGACGAAGACAATGGTGAAGACGAAGACGAAGATGGAGACGAAGCAGGAGGCGAAGACGAAGCAGAAGACAAGGACGAAGCAGGACCAAGACAAAGCAGGGAGGCAGACTAGAACATGGTTAGAGACCTTCGGACTAAGTGAGAGGACAAGGGCACCTGAACTGGCAAGGGCACCTGAGGTGAGGATGGGGTCGAGCTAATCTGAGAGCACCCTGAAGTTTCATAGCAGTCATTGCACGCCATTGCATGCCATTGCATGCCATTGCACGCCACTGCACGCCATTGCACGCCATTGCATGCCATTGTACGCCATTGTATGCCATTGCATGCCATTGCACGCCATTGTATGCCATTGCATGCCATAGCATGTTGTTACGTAGCCATGCAATCAAGATGTGAGGGGAGGAGGAGAGAGTGTACCTGAGGATGGGGTCGAGTTGATCCGAGAGCACCCTGAAGCCCTCATAGCAGTCATTGCAGCGCTGCAACCTGCCGTGCCATCACATGCCATCACATGCCATCACATGCCATCACATGCCATCACATGCCATCACACGCCGTGCCATCACATGACATAACGCGCCACACATTCACATTCCATGCAACCAGTTGCCAGGCGAGTCATTGTGAAATGGAAGAGGAGTTTACTTAGGCATTAGAAAGAACCAAAGCTGGTGTCACAGGACGGGCACAAGAGAACCACTTTGAAGCACTCAGTAACCTCCCTAGTTCTCACCTCTCCTCCATATGTAAATCCACTCCGGGGGAATGCGTGGCGGTGCGAGCAGCGGTGATGGGCTCACTGAAGGCCCTCAGCAGCTCTCGTAAGAGGGACAGCGCCACTCCCACGTACCTGGAGCGGGGGGGGGGGAGGACAAGGGGTCAACCACAGCGCGAGCAGCAGTGATGGGCTCACTAAAGGCCCTCAGCAGCTCCCGCAGCAGAGACAGCGCCACTCCCACGTACCTGAAAGCAACGAGGGTAAGGGGAAAGGGGAGGGATGGCGAGAGGGTGAGAAACACGCGGGAGAGAAACGCAGGTCACTGAGGGCTCTCAGCAGCCCCCGCAGGAAAGAGAGCGCCACTCCCACGTACCTGGAAAGGAGGGGAACAAGGGACCAACAAATATTAGAGCAGCAGTGGTGGGGGGGACAAGGGGTCAACCAGAGCTCGCGCAGCAGTGATGGGCTCGCTGAAGGCCCTCAGCAGCTCTCGTAGGAGGGACAGCGCCACTCCCACGTTCCTGAAAGGGGAGGGGAGTGGGGGAGGGCAAGGAGAAACACCGATGAACACCTCAGATGCGCGGCAGTGCGTTTTGCAGGGTGTTATTGAGAATTCTCAAAAACACCTTGCAAAATGGAGGGCAGGAAGAACCAACTATGAACAGTTCCGATGCACGACAGTGCGCGCAACAGAGACAGCGCGACTCCCACATACCTTTGAAACAGCGGAGCGGGGGAGAGTGTTTGGGAAAGGGAAAAGAGAATGGCTGATCCCTCGACTTCCCAGTGGATGTAGACGAAAGGGAGGGGAACTTGCAGAGGGGGACGGAGAGGCACTGGCAGAGGGAACAGGGGAGGCGAAGGGCCGTCACAAGCAGAAGCAGTAAGGATTCGGCCGCAATCCCCACAAACGAAAATGTGCATCTTGCTTCAAACCGTGGAGAAGAGCCAGGCGGAGACACACAGGACCCACAAGACTACGATGGAGGGGTTTGGGTTCAGCCACAATGCCCATCACCGCACAGCACCACACTACACCGCTCACTTGGAGTGCCGGCTGGCCAGTAGAGCCCTCAGCAGCGGCAGCAGCTGCATGGTTCCCTCCATGCCTAGAGATACCAGCCGCCTCCCCCCCTGCAGCGCCAGCACCTCAAGAACATCTACCACCACCTGAGACAGTGCGAGCAAGAAGCAGGGAGAGAAGAGAGAGAGAGAGAGATGAGCAAGGGTTGCAGCAGCAGCAACATGGTTCCCTCCATGCCTAGAGCCACCAGCCGCCTCCCCCCCTGCAGTGCCAGCACCTCCAACACAACACTGCCCTGCCCTTTACCAGCGCACCTTACTGCAACTGGTACACTGGCGTATGGAGAAGTCCTGTGAAGAAGCGAGAGCAGAGAGAGCCAGCATCGAGTCCCCATGAACCCCCCGGGGACGCTGTCTCTTGCTTGCACCAGGTTCATCAGCTCATCTTACTAAAACGAGAAAAACGGCTGCTTACAGAGAGGCCTTTTGACGCAGCGAGAGCGGGAAGGGCCGGCGTCATGTCCCCATCAACCCACAACGATGCCACCTGCCGCACTGCATTGAGCCGCACCTGCAGCATGCACTAGAGCATGCACCATTCACCTTACTATAGCGAGTATAACGACTGCTTACAGAGAGGTCCTTGGAGGAAGTTAGGGCAGAGAGGGCGGGCATCAAGTCGCCCTCCACCCACAGCGATGCCACCTGTCGCACTGCATTCAACCGCCCCTGCAGCATGTGTAGCATGGCTGTGTGGCGCCCATTCACACTCTCCATCACCACCATCTCGTCTTCCTCCTCCTCATCCTGCTGTTTCTGCTGTTTGGATGGTAGAGGGGGCTGGGGAGGGGGGGGGAGAGGCATGGGCAGAAATGGGAGAATGAGAGGTGTGAATGAGGTAGAGGGCGACTTGGCCCCTGCAGCAGGTGCAGCATGGCTGTGTGGCGCCCATTCACACTCTCCATCACCACCATCCCATCCTCATCCTCATCTTCCTCCTCCTCCTCGCCCTGCTGCTTCTGTTGCTTGGATGGTAAAGGAGGCTGGAGAGAAGGGGTGGAGAGGCAAGGGGAAATGCGTCAGTCTTTGTAGCATGGCTGTGTGGCGCTCATCCACACTCCCCATCACTACCATCCCGTCTTCCTCCTCCTCGCCCCCCTGCTGCCTCTGTTGCTTTAATGGTAAAGGGGGCAGGGGTGGGAGATAGGGGAGGGGAGAGGTAGTGGCGAAAGTGAATGGAAACGGAGGGGAGAGGCATGGGTAAATGAGGGAGTTGGTCAAGCAGCATGTGCAGCATGTGCAGCACGTGCAGCACGTGCAGCATGTGCAGCATGGCTTTGTGCCGTCCATTCACACTCTCCACCACCACCATCTCGTCTTCCTCCTGTAGAGGAGAGGAGAGGCATGGGGAAAGGAGTAGACATGCCTGGGTAGATGCAGCACAAGGTGAGTCGATGCTGCAGCACGTGCAGCATGCTTGCATGCCCCGTTAATTCACAACCCATTCCTCCCTCCCTCCTCACCTCTGCCAACTCCTCCACACCGACCTTCATGGGCCACTGCAGACCCTTCTAACGATGCCTCAGAGACCCTTCCCTCCCACCCAACTCCCCCTTCCCCCCCTCCATCTCCTCACCTGTGCAAACTCCTCCACATTGACCTTCATGGACCACTGCAGAACCTTTGAAGGGGCCAAAAAACATCCCCTCTCCCCTCCCCCCTTCTCCCCCTCCCCTTTCCTCACCTGTGCGAACTCCTCCACATTGACCTTCATGGACCACTGCAGAACGCTCCCTGCTGCTCTTGAAGCTGTTAATGCTGTCGATGCTGCATGCCGTGCACCTGGTGTTCGGGCTTGTGCTGCCACTGCCACTGGCGCTGCTGCTGCTGCTGCTGATGCTCTGGCTTGCACTCGCCCTGGCACCGCTGCTGCTGCTGGTGCTGCTGGTGCTTTCGCTGGTGCAGCAGCTAGAGAATGAGCGGACGGGGTGGATGGGGCGGATACAGTCCACGGTGGCTGCACTTGGGGTGACTGCATGCGCGGGGATAAGGGAGACATCCCAATGCGCCTACCCTGGCTCCTGCTCCCTACTCCGGCCATCGCTCCTGCAGGTATCAAATCCCCAGCTCCCCCTGCTCCTCCCATTCCTCCTCCTGCTGCCTCTCCCCCCACTCCCTCCGACCCTCCTCCTCCCCTGTCACACCCTGCTTCCGCCCTCGAAGGCAAAGAGGCGGAGCCAAAGGAAGAGGAAGCCAGCACTGCTGCATCGCTGGCATCACCACTCTCTCTTGATCCATACTCGTTAGTAGCAGCCTCTCCACCACCGCTCCTCGCACTGCCACCAACAGATGCCGACGATACCAGGGCAACACTCTTATCGCGCTCCCCTTCCCTCTCCCCAGCGGACCCATGCCTCCTCAGACTGTCAACCCTCACACTGCCGCCCATGCCCTCCACCCCATCCTCCAAATCAACAGCATACGGCGGGTGCAGCGTGGATGGCCGCACCTTGTACTTGTCCTCACTGCGCACCCCACGCCCCGTCCCCAGCTGCCCCAGCATACTCCCATCCGGATGCCCATGCTTCTCCCCCCTCTCTACCCGACTCTCTGCCCCATCATCCCCATCCTCCCCCTCCCCCTCCACGGCATAAGGCGCTCGAAGGCTTGGCACCGACACCTTAGAGTCCACAGTCGCACCGCTGATGGCAGGCCCGTCACTAGTAGCAGTCGCACGACTAGCAGCTGGCCCGTCACTATCAGCAGCACCATAGCTTGTCCCAGGCCCATCGCTAGTAGCAGCAGCACCATCACTATGAGCCCCGACTTGACTCCTGCCCTCACCCTCACCCTCATCACCATCGTCATCGTCATCACTGCACCCACTGATTTGCCCCGATCCGACTCTCTGTACCCTTGTGTTCCTGCCACCTCCTCCGTTCCTCCCCCCACCTCGCTCCTCCTCACGTCCCACACTCCCCCCCTCCCCACCCCCCCCACTCCCCCCTTCCCTCCTCTCCTCCTCCTGGTCCCGCCAAATTGCCTTCTCCTCCCTGCCCACCTCCCCTCTCCCTCCTGCCTCTTTCACCCCGCTCTTGCCCCCTCCCCCCCCTCCACTCTCATCCAGACCCGAAAACGACCCGATCCAGTCAGACACCTTGCTCATCGCCTCCACCACTGTGGCCGCTCTGCCGCCCGCCCCCCCGCCCGCTGTCGCCACCGCCTTGCTCCAGTCAAACGACAGGCCAAAGCTAGACATGCCGCCAAGTATACCCGCCCCAGATGCACCTGCTTGCGTGCCCAAACCAGATGCACCGTTTGACCTACCTGGGCCAGACACGGCTGCTGCTGGAGTACCCGAGTTGGAGACCTCTACAGGGGTAACAGAACCAGAGGAATCTTCCATGCTGGGGACGTGACTCCCCTTGCCACTGCTGCTGTCCGCAACGGCAGCGGCACTCCCTTGCGTGTGCAGAAGAGAGGAGGGAAGCGAGGAGGGGAGTGACGAGGGAAGCGATGAGGGGTCATTCTCATCTCGTGACACCAGCACCGGATCCCTAAACCCCGCTACTGCGCTTCCTGCCTCTTCAATCCCTGCCGGTGCTGCTGCAGCGTTCATTCTTGCGTGCCGCACAGAAAACCGCACATCATCATCGTCAGCCCTCCTCCCACCGGCATGCTTTTGAGTCGACTCAAACGCAGCATTCCCTCTTGCCTGCCGCACAGAGGGATGCACAGCAGCATCATCATCAGGCACCATCACCCCCCCCGCATCAAGAAACTCTTGAATCTTGCGCGGGTGCCGTTGATTCGCCTCATCCATCCTCCTGTCCACTCCATCGCGCACGGAAGATGGACGCACAGCAGCATCAGACACCCCTCCAGAGTCCAGAAACTCCTGAATCTTGCGGGACACGGGGGGCTCGTCCCTGGGAATCACATAGATTCCGTTCCTGGTCGCCTTGGCAGAGGCATCGTCCCCTCTGGAGATCACATGGCCGCCAGACACAGACGCTCTCCGCCCCCCCCTTGCCCCCACTCCCCTCGAAATCGCCCCGGCACATGAACTCCCCCCTCCTGTCCCCCCTCCTCCCCCACCTCCTCCCCCTCCAATTCCCGTCCTTTGCTCCTTCCCACTTATCGTGCCAACCCCTCTGCCCCACTGCTCCCCCGCCCCTCCCACCGACACCCTTCGTCCCCTCACACCCCCACTCCCCACCCCTGCACTCTCTCCCCCCACACCTCCTCCCCCTGCCCCCCCACGGAAACCAAACCTCCCACCTCCCTCTCTCCCTCCTGTTTTCTGATTCTGAGTTGACTCAAACGCCCCCAGCCTGCTACTCCCCACGCCACCGGTACTGCCTACCCCTCCCCCAGCGGCAGAGGGGAGCGGGGAGGGCGTGAGGGGGTGAGTGGGGGCGGTGGAGGCAGAGCCCTCGCCCTTGACTGGGGAGAGCTGGCGAGTGCGATGGATGGATGCTGCTGTGGGGGTCTGGTGGTGCTGGTGGGGCGAGGGGGAGGGGCGGACATGAGGGGAGCGGCTGGCAGGAGACGGGTTACCTGTGGGAGGGAGAAGTGACAAAAAGGAACAGGGGAGAGGACAAGACAGAGCGAAAAGAGAGGAGCTGGGGCCACACGGCCTTCCAACAGCCAGAGCTGCTGCACCCAGGGCCACACGGCCTTCCAACAACAAGAGCGCCCCCCATGGGCACACGGCCCTCCAACAACAAGAGCGCCCCCCATGGGCACACGGCCTTCCAGCAACAAGAGCGGCCCCCATGGGCACACGGCCTTCCAACAACACGAGCGCCCCCCATGGGCACACGGCCTTCCAACAACAAGAGCGCCCCCCATGGGCACACGGCCTTCCAACAACAAGAGCGCCCCCCATGGCCACACGGCCTTCCAACAACAAGAGCGCCCCCCATGGGCACACGGCCTTCCAACAACAAGAACGCCCCCCATGGGCACACGGCCTTCCAACAACAAGAGCGCCCCCCATGGCCACACGGCCTTCCAACAACAAGAGCGCCCCCCATGGGCACACGGCCTTCCAACAACAAGAGCGCCCCCCATGGGCACACGGCCTTCCAACAACAAGAGCGCCCCCCATGGCCACACGGCCTTCCAACAACAAGAGCGCCCCCCATGGGCACACGGCCTTCCAACAACAAGAGCCCCCCCCATGGCCACACGGCCTTCCAACAACAAGAGCGGCCCCCATGGGCACACGGCCTTCCAACAACAAGGGAGGCCGCTGTGGCATGCCCGCGAGGAGGCTGCTGTGGCAAGCCCAAAAGGAGGCTGCCGTGGCATGCCCGCGAGGAGGCTGCTCTAGCATGCCCGCAAGGAGGCTGCCGTGGCATGCTCGCGACTTGATCCCAAGCGAGTGGAGGAGACAGTGGAGGCGGTAGTAGAGATGGGCAGAGGCAGGTGCAGACCCAAGCCTAAGCCAGAAAGATGGTAGACCAGGACACCCACCTTTGAGCCCGTGCGCGGTAGCAGCAGAGTGCACGGGCGTTGACACGGAGGACACAGAGGAAGCGGTGGGAGAGGCGGGCAGAGGTAGGCCCATGGCGCCTGAGAGGCTCCGCTCCTCCTCGGTGCTCTCTGACGTGCTAGAGCCAAATGGTGCCACCCGCTGGTGGTGAAAGGAGGAGGGGGGTGGGGATTTGGGAGGGGGGAGGGGAATGGGGGAAGGAGGGAGAGGGGGGAAAGCAGGGAGAATAGATGAGTGTAAGGTGTGGGAGAAGGACACGCGCCAGATCCAGAAGACTAACACATATCATGAGGTCGACGAGCCACAGGCTGACGTGGGTGTGGGAGAAGGACACACCGTACAGCTTGCCCTCGTGGCGTGTGAATCTCACAAAAAGCATTAACACCGAAGCTTAGAGCCCGTACGCAGCATACCATGAGGTCGAAGAGCCAGAGGACGACACATGTGTGGGAGACGGGGCCATGAGAGATATCATTTGGTTATACCCACCATGGGTGGGAGCGAGTATCATACCATGAGGTCGACGAGCCAGAGGCTGACGCATGTGTGGGAGAAGGACGCCCCGTACAGCTTGCCCTCATGGATGCTGACGTCAGCCACCTTGGACCACCCCACGTTGACCGTGTCGAAGCACCGCACCGGCTCCCAGCCCCACACCTGAAATTCAGAGTAAATTTCAAGAAGAGGCAAATCTCAAAGCACCGCATAGGCTCCCACCCTCCCCCACACCTGAAATTCAGAGTAAATTTCAAGAAGTGGCAAATAAAAAAGCACTGCACGGCCTCCCAGCCCCACACCTGAAATTCAGAGTAAATTTCAACAAGAGGCAAATCTCAAAGCATCGGACGGCCTCTCACCCTCCCACACACCTGCAGATGGGCAGAGCGAGCACAAGGGAAAAGGGATAGTGAGGAAGAAAAGCCCGCCTTGCTACGTCTATGGATGGCTCACCTTGAGAGTGTCGCCAGCGGGAGCTAGCAGTGCCTGTCCATCTGGGGTGAAAGCCAGCGACCTCATGCCACTAGCCTGCAGCACACACATGCAAACAGCCACACAAAAGAGCCTTTTGGGTCGACGGAGAAAGCAGTGTTTGCCCATCTGGGGTGAAAACCAGCGACTTCATGCCACTCGCCTGCAGCACACACATACAGAGAGCCGCACTGAGGAGCCTCGCCATAGAAGCTGGCATACAATGTGGTGGCTCCTACATAGAGTGGCCTCAGGATTGCAGATGCAGAGCGCGTGTGGACAACACAAGCAAAAAGGATGGCCGACAGGATCTTTAATGGCACCTGCTTGTCGTGGAGTGAAAATTCCAGACCGATTTAGAAACTTTTGGAGAACCGTTGAGTAGAGGACAGTGCATGCAACCTCGACCACCTACGCCTACCTCGGCGCCTGTGGACCCCACCAGCTCGAATGTCTCCAGGTCCCAGAACTTGCACGTGCGGTCACTGGAGCCTGCTATGTATGTGGCACGCTATGCATACAACGTTCAAACGCATACAAACAATCAACATACCTCCGCTCCTGTCGACCCCACCAGCTCGAATGTCTCCAGGTCCCAGAACTTGCACGTGCGATCACTGGAGCCTGCTTCATGCACACCCACGCATACACACCCATGTGCCACATAAGCAGGCATCCAAACATGCAGGCATGAAAAGTACACAGCCAGGCAAGAAGAAGGGTCATAGGCCATGGAGCAAGACGAGCAAAGCTGATGCATATAAAAGGGCTCAAGTCACGGAGACGCACTCAAATGCGTGTCAACGGAGCAGATGAAACAGCCATGCTAACGATCCACGATAGGAAGGGTCCGTCAGATGAGGTGGCCAATGCACAGGCGAGGGAAGGTCACGGGAGGGAGAGGTGAGCTCACAGCCATAGCGACGCAAGGCAGGGGAGAGGCTAGGAGGATAGACGCAAGGCAGGGGAGAGGCTAGGAGGATAGACGCAAGGAAGGGGAGAGGGTAGGAGGATAGACGCAATGAGGGCAAGACCCACAGGAGGCGAGGAGGAGAGCGATACTTGCGGAAGGAGGGAAGGGAAAAGCAGGCACTCACAGGAAGCAAGGAGCAGCTCGTGCGGGTGGAAGGTGAGGCAGGTGACGGCGTCCCCGTGCTGCTTGAACTCGTGCAGCACCTTGCCCGCTGGCACGTCCCACAGCTGCAGGGCGGGTGGGTGAGGGCGGGCATGAGACAGAGGGGTGAAGGGGGGTGAAGAGGGGCGCAGAGGAGTGGAGGGGGGCTTCAACTCGTGCAGCACCTTGCCCGCTGGCACGTCCCACAGCTGCAGGGGGGTGAAGAGGGGTGCAGGGGGGTGCAGCGGGGTGGAAGGCGCAGAGGGGTGCAGTGGTGCTTGAACTCGTGCAGCACCTTGCCCGCTGGCACGTCCCACAGCTGCAGGGCGGGTGGGTGAGGGCGGGCATGAGACAGAGGGGTGAAGGGGGGTGAAGAGGGGCGCAGAGGGGTGGAGGGGGGCTTCAACTCGTGCAGCACCTTGCCCGCTGGCATGTCCCACACACTGCAGGGGGTGTAGAGGCACAGTGGCACAGTAGCACTGTGGCAATTTGGGGGATGGAGAGAGTGTGCAGGCTCAAAGCAGGAGGCACAGGAGTGCTTCAGCTCGTGCAGCACCTTGCCCGCTGGCACACCCACCACAGAAGCACCTTGTCTCCTCCTCCTCTTGTCTCCTTCACTTCTCCCCTCCCTCCCTTTTCCCCTCACTTCCTTCTCCCCTCCCTCCATTCCCCTCCCTCCATTCCCCTCCCTCCATTCCCCTCCCTCCATTCCCCTGCCTCCATTCCCCTCCCTCCTTCCTCCTCACCTTGCCCGCCCGTCCTGAGCCACTGGCATCGGGTCTCCGTTTAGAGCACAAGCTCTCACTCCCTCTCTACCTTGGATTCCACACCTTCCGCGCCGCTTCTCCCCTTCCCCACACCCCCATTGGATTCTCACCTTGATATCTGAGTCCTGCCCGTCAGTCAAGAGCCACTGCCCATCGGGGCTGAACCGCATGCAGGCAACACCCTTGCTTCCCATGGTTCTTGAGCACGTACACCGCCTCCTTCTGCCTCCTCCCCTTCCCTTCTACCCCCCATTGGCTTCTCACCTTGACAATTGAGCCCTGCCCGCCCGTCATGAGCCACTACCCATTGGGACTGAACCGCACAAACATCACGCCCTTGCTTCCCATGGTTCTTTAGCACGTGCACCGCCTCCTCCTGCCGCTCTTCTTCCCATCTCCCCCTCCCTTCTCCCATCCCCTCCTTCTCTTCTCACCTTGATAACTGAGTCCTGCCCTCCAGTCATGAGCCACTGCCCATCAGGACTAAACCGCACACACGCCGCGCCCTTCCCGTGATTCTTGAGCATGTGCACCGCCTCCGTCTGCCGCTCATCTTCCCATCTCCCCCTCCATTCTTGATCACCGAGTCCTGTCCGCCTGTCATGAGCCACTGCCCGTCCGGGTTGAACCTAACTCAAGCCACGCCCTTCCTTCCCATGGTTCTTTCGCACATGCACCGTCTCCTTCTGCCGCTCTTCTTCCCATCTCCCCCTCCCTTCTCCCATCCCCTCCTTCTCTTCTCACCTTGATAACTGAGTCCTGCCCGCCCGTCATGAGCCACTGCCCGTCAGGGCTGAACCTGACACACGCCACGCCCTTGCCGTGGTTCTTGAGCACGTGCACCGCCTCCTTCTGCCGCGGGTCCCACACGCGCGCTGTTGAGTCCAGAGAGCCCGACGCAAAGAACGGCTCAAAGGGGTGGAAGTCCAGGGACATGGCCGAACCCCTGTGGCCTGTCAAGGTGCGGACGGCTGGTGGCCGGGAGGAGGGGGGAGGGGGGAAGCAGGAGTTCGGGTGAAAGAACTGTCGACTCCAGAGAGCCCGACACGAAGAGCGGCTCAAAGGGTGGAAGCCCAAAATGATGACCAACCCCCTGTAGCCCATCAAGAGGGCTTACCTTTGCCTTCGTTGAGGTCCCATAGCTTGACTGAGCCGCTGAGCACCCCCGAGATGGCCTGATCCTCTGATCTGCTCAGCAGCGCACTCTCCACTGCACTGGTGTTGCCGCTCAGCTTCTGCCATGCACCAATGGATACGGTGAGAGTCAGAGGTTGAGGCACAGACAGTGAGTGACAGAGCATGAGGCACAGGCACTAGCGCACTCTCTACTGCACTGTTGCTGCCGCTCAGCTTCTGCCATGCGATACATAAATGCAGAGACAGAAATGTAGATGGCGACAGTGAGCGAAGCAGCACGAGGCACATGCACATGTTTTGCTCAGCACAGCACTCTTCACTGCACCCTTGTTAACGCTCAGCTTCTGCAAGGGGATAAACGAATACTGAACAAGAGACAGAAACCTAGACGGAGATAGAGTCAGAGACAGAGGCAGGGTTGACGGCAACAGAGATAGGGGCACAAACACGGACAGAGATTCATACACACACACTGACAATGACAGGGTCAGAGACGGAGAGAGGGCGGCAGGCACACAGACGCAGACAGGGACAGAAGCAGGTGCTTGTCGCCACTACCCGTAGTGACTCTATCTTGCCATGATGAGTAACTCTTACTTACGAGAAGCGGTTCGCGTTCGTAGATGGGCCAGAAGAGTAGTTTCTTGTCGTTGCCGTCAGTAGAACAACAAGTTTTCGCTTGTAACCGGTTACCAGCATGTCGTTTCTAACACTCACAAGGAGTGGTTCGCGATCGTGAATGGACCAGAAGTGGAGCTTCTTGTTGTCGCCACTTGCAGCGACTCCATTTCGGCTGTACACATGGTTACCACATACTTACGAGGAGCGGTTCGCGATCGTGAATGGACCAGAGGAGCAGTTTCTTGTCGTCGCCGCCTGTGATAACCCTCTCGCACGTCTTCCGTCCGATGCTGACGCATTTTATGCTGGCCGTGTGAGCCGCGAAGGTTTCTGGTCGCCGTTAGGTTACGTGAGAAATCAGCGAGTTAAGGAAAAAGGGGCTGACAGTAAAACGAACCGAGTGAACAGCAGAGCGGATAAGGAAGAGCAAGAAAGCTGACAGCAGGTTATACAGTCGGAAAAGAACGCACAGAAGAACCAGATTCAGACAAAATGATTTCAGGTTTGACATGAGCGGAAGTGTGTATAAGGAGGATACGAATCTTCTGAGTTCTTCGTGTATCTGGTCGTCCCATTGCGAGCCGTGTGACCACGATGACGGTGCTAACTATGTGCTAGCAGTGCTAACCGCTAGCAGTGCTAGCCGTGTGACGTCGATGTCGGTGCTAGCTGGGTGGTTAGGTGTCTCGATGGATTAGCTACGGATTGTGACGTCAATGTTCCTGCTAGCCCGGTCTTCTATATGTTCTGGTATTAAGATCAAACATACTCTGACCGTAGGGAAGCTAGTACTAGTTGAAGGTTGCACATAAAGCGGAAAGCCATTCACAGAAAACCCTGTGTACACACGACGTGCTGGCCTAGGTGCTTCTTAGCTGTATTATGGGTCTAAATCTACTAAGTTACGGGAGCCTGGGAATCCCCGTCCATGCAACGTGGCACTGGGAATCCCCGTCCGTTTCGTAAGAAAGGAGACTGGAGATACTAGCTAGCATAAGGCGTCGACCGTACGATACTGTAATGCGTGACCGAATGGCGGCGCGAGGCAACAAAACTGTCAGAATCTAGGAGTGGATCAGTGGAAACTGTCTTGAATCGTCTTGAACCGCGAGGCACGATTGGGTGACTGATAGGTTCTAGACTAGTCTAGTCCTGTCTGGTGTGATACAATATGGAGAATCTCTGGTCTTTGGTGGAGTTTTCGAGGTGGCAGAACACTTTTGGCGGGAAACCCAAAAAGTCACCCTGCTAATGGGTCACGGCCATCGCATGTCCAACCAGACTGGAAACTGTTACCACCGACGAAAAAATCGGTCGTTTCGTCAAAGACCAAAACTGGAAAAAAAGGAATTCGTGACAGCTTGCGAAGTTCGTCTCCTGGCAGAGTCGAATCCACGATGTGGTGTGGGTATGCCCAAGAAGTTCGTCTTGGGTTTGGGAGCGGAAACGCGTGCCTGTGCTTGAGACCTCCAGCAACTCCCGCCAAAAGTCATCGGGCACATTCGTTATACGAACTGACACCAATCCACCTCCAATGTGTCAGTTGCGAAACCACCCACTACAAACCAGGAAAATGTTTGTTATCCAACCATATTCGTCATATGCGGAGCTCACTCGCAAAATTCCGACAGCCTTACAGCGCAAACGAGTTGCATTGTTACGCGTTCTTGCTTGTTCCTGCGAAAACTCGTACTATGATCTTCTAGAGGTCTGGTTGCACAGGTGATCAGTGATCACGTGCTTTATTAGTTCGTATGCGCCGCGATCAGCTTTCGCCATCACGCCAGCGTCCAAAGCCATGAATTTCTAGCGGCCGATTTCGCTCTACGACTTACCCATCACCGCATTGCCGATCTCCAGTCACCAGTTTTGTGCCCTTATGTCCTCTTTTCGCGCCGCACTATACTAGTAGCATCCATGGCGCCTCCTGGCTTCAGATCGCTTCGACAGCTTCATGCGCGATCCTCAATCCTTCTCGGTCGCCGCGCTGATCCGAACCACGCCCTCGCTTCTGTAGATCTGTTGTCGAATCAACTCGCGAGACTGCTGCATTCGAGCGATGCGCGAGGGACTCGCGACAGCCATAGCGACAGTTGCGAAAATGAGGAAGAGAGGGTTACCAAGAGCCTGGTATCGGGTCCAACAGAAGCAGCTCCGAGCCTCGAGAGGCCGACAGACGAGCCGCCTGGGAGGACTGATGACGCAACGGGGCTCGGAAATGGCAGCAGCTTCGGAGAAGCAAGGAGGTTCGGATATCTGGAGGCCCGATTCGGCGAGATCCAGGCGGATCGGGGCCTGCTGAGTCGGATCATTAACTTAGCGTCCGCCGCGGGGAACGACTCGTATCCCCCTGACAATAGTAAGTGCGATAGCGATAGTAGCATGCGGGCGAATGATGCCGCGGACTTGAGTCGGATCATGAGCCTCGATTCTGCCGAGGGGAGCGAGACAGAGAGTAGCGCCGTTAGCAGCAGCAATGCTGCTAACGGCACTACCAGCAGCAGTGACATCAGCAGCAGCAGGGAAAGCAACAGCAGCAACAACAGCAGTGATCGCAGCAGCAGCAACAGTACTGGCAGCAGCGGTATCAGCACCGACAGCGATACTTGCAGCAGCAGCAGGGGCAGCACGAGCAGCATTAGCAACGGCAGCAGCGGTGGCATGGATGGGCTCAGGCTTCTGCTGAGACGAGGGACGAGAGAGCGAGGGGAGGAGAAGCAGACTCTCAGAGGGAGGGGCTTTGGCAAACCAGAAGCCGCCGACGGGACTTTGGGCACTGTTTCTATGGGTACTGTAGAAGATGCAGCTGCACTCACTAGAAGGGAACCTTGGAATTGGCATCCAGCGAGGAAGGCTGTAACGAGGACGGCTGTGGAGTACCCGTGCTGTTACGGGGTGGAGGTGGCAGGGTTACCTGCGGACGTATCAGAGGAGGACACGTGGGAGATGATGGAGAGGCGTGGGGGGGAGGTGGTCGATGTGAGGCTGCAGAAGGGGACACGTGGCGGTGGGACACGTGGCAATGGGGCACGTGCTGTGGTCTATTTCAAAACTGAGAAAGCCTTTCTCGATGCCCTTTCCTCGTCCTCTTCATCTCCTTCTTCCTCTTCCTCCTCCTCCTCCTCCTCCTCCTCCTCTCTCTCCTCTCCTCTCCCCCTCCCCCCCTCCCTCTCTATCTCTCCCTGCAAGCACACCCTCCCGCTCCTCTCCCCGGCCGCCCGGGCCCACGTGGAAAGGCTGACATGGCAGCAGCACATGACGTGGCAGCCGCAGAGGAGTGATAAGCACACTTCAGAGAGGAGTGTCAGAAATGGGGCGCACGGGATAGAGGGCTTCTCAGCTCACAGCCAGCAGCAAGAAAGGCTGAGTTCTTCTGACGATTTTCTCGAGCTTCTCAACTCCCAGCTGTCCCGCTTTCCACAAGCGCGCTCCAACCGCAGTTCACCCTTTCCTAGCAGTAAAGCTGCTGGTTTAGGCTTGGAACGAGCAGGCTCGGCAGCAGCAGGTCTGGGAGGTGCAGGCTCGGGGAGGTCAGGTTCGGAGGCGGCACCATCAGCAGCAGGAGGGGTGGTGGAAGGATCGGTAGCAGGGTTTGTGCCCCCAACTACATGTTCCCCTTCCCCTTCCCCTTCCCCTTCACCTTCGCCTTCAGCAAATTCTGTTTTTTTTACAGTCACACTCAGTAATGTCTCGCCGTTGGTCAGTGTAGCCCAGATTCGGGCAGCTCTCGAAGAATTTGGGCAGGTGGACAGCCTGCGATTGGAGCAATCTGCTGGTCGGGCAGCTGCTGAGATCTTCAGTACAGGGGGTGGCGGTAGAAGCAGTGAGAGGGAGACATCAAGCCCCACGGTGTCATCGTTGCAGGCTGTGGTGACTTTCCAGGTTGGTTCCCTTCCCCCTGCCATTTCGATTCGTTTTCACGCCTCCTTCATTCCTGATTCATTCTACCCGCCATGTGCCTTAGGTTCCTTAGAAATGCACGTCTTGCTGTCTCGGCATTTGGTATAGGACCCGTGTTCTGGAGAGTAAGTGTGCCCTTGGGTACATGCCTCATTGGATCACGTTCCGTGTGTAATGAGTTGATTTTTGAGTCGACTAAAAATCGACTCATTACATCTGGAGAGTACGTGCGCGCTTGGGTACATGCCTCATTGGATCAAGTTCCATTCACACCTTGGGTGCTGCAGTTAACGAACCCAGCCTGCTCTTCCGTTGTTGTACCTATGAGTCTTCCCTCCCCCCTCCTCCCTCCTCTCCGCCCTCCTCCCTCCTCCCTCCTCCCTCCTCCCTCTCCTCCCTCCCCCCTCCTCCTCCTCTCCTCCCTCCTGCCATATCCCCTCTCGCCACCCGCACAGACGAGGCAGGCACAGCAAGCCGCCCTGTCAGCTCGCATCCTGACTCTTGGCAGCACCACAGCACGCATCCGAGCCTGTCCCGAAGGCTTGGAGCCGCTTGTGCTGCGGTTCATGTCCAAAGCCAGCCCCCGGACCCAGGTTCGGCAGCAGGTTCGGCATCCTCTGGAGGACCGGGATCTCCCTTGGCCGCAGGATGTTTCTGTGCTGGCTGTTGAGCCGCGGGGTCCTGGAGTGTACGATATTACGATTGCGGTAACCAACGACAGTTTGCAAGCAGTGGCTGGTGTGAGAGACAGGTGAGCTGTGCTAGTTGCCAGAGGGATGTTCTTGTGTGCTTGGACTGTTATGGTTATGAAGGTATGCTGCCCTAGTAAGTACGTACTTAACCTCCTACTCCCTTCAGTGCGTACTCTGTTGAGTCTTGGTGCCTGTGTAACCCCTATAAGCCCCATGCATGGCGCTTGTTCTTCCTCCCAACTCCACTCCCCCTCTCGTTCCTGCAACCCCCTCTTTCATTCGCCACAGGCTGAAGGAAGGGAGTCCCCATTGGAGCCTCAGCTTTCCCTTCGACCCCGTGATGAACCCTTATAAGCCCATTGAGCCTCACGACCGAGAGAAGCAAAGGGCGCGGTTACAGATGATGCAGGCGAAGCTGGAAGGGATGAGCATGCAGTTACAACGGTTACTGGTCGAAGTCGAGGATTTGGCGGATGTTGTGGGCAGAGAGGTGGCAGCCTTAGATGGTAGTCATTGAACTGCTGACGGGTCTTGTGGTGCGAGGTTTTGGAATTATAGCTGATGCATTCTAATCCAGTGGGCGAAGTCGGTTGAAATGGGTTGGGTTGGGTGGGAGGGAATTGGACCTAAACGCTGTAAGAAATGGAAACGGTGGGTAGAGGAAGAATGACCTCCAGCCCCACCATGTACTGCAGCTGGAGAAGGGCGATGAGAAGTGCGCTTCGACGATGCCTCGAACTGCGTTACCAGCAGCTTCACATTCACAACAATACAATACGCAAGTTTTGAAAGCGTAACACTTTCATTGTTTACATTGTGTTACGGTATGAAGCTTGGGAAAACCTTAGAGCAGTACCATAGCAGGCGCTATTCTGCCGCATGCGATGTTCGTCGGGCGCGCTCTACATCGATTTCTAGCGACACAATGTCAACTTTTACATATATTTTTATGTAGAAGTTATAGGCTAGATAGGGTATGTTCTTAGTGGGTACAACCCAAACGCTATATCTCCCCTGTTCTTCTTCTATTCATTCTTTCTAGTCTTAACATGGTATCCCAAGTAGGTAGGTCCACCCACCCGCTTCCGCCCCGTGCCGCCACCTACCGGACCCTCGCGCCCCTAGCTGGCCCCGCGCGCCCCTACGGCCCCATCACGCCCCTAGCAGGCCCCGTCGCGCCCTTACGGCCCCGTCGCGCCCCTACGGCCCCGTCGCGCCCCTAGCAGGCCACGTCGCGCCCCTACGGCCCCTCGCGCCCCTAGCCGGCCCTATCGCGCCCCTAAGTAGCCCCGTCGCGCCCCTACAGCCCCGTTGCGTTCCTACGGCCCTGTCGCGCCCCCACGGCCCCGTCGCGGCCCTAGCCGGCCCCGTCGCACCCCTACCGGCTCCGTCGCGCTCCTACGGCCCTGTTGCGCCCCTAGCCGGCCCCGTCACACCCCTACCGGCCCCTTGCGCCCCTAGCTGGCCCCGCCCGCCACTACAGCCCCTCGCGCCCCTAGCCGGCCCCGTTGCGCCCCTACCGGCCCCTCGCGCCCCTAGCCGGCTCCGTCGCGCCCCTACCGGCCCCTCGCGCCCCAAGCCAGCCCCTCGCGCCCCTACGGCCCCTCGTGCTCCTACCGGCACCCCCCCCCGTCCCTAGCCGGCCCCACGCGCCCTTGCCGGCCCCGCTCGCCCTAGCCGGCCCCTTGTGCCCTAGCCGGCCCCGTCGCGCCCTAGCCGGCCTCGTCGCCTGAGCCGCCGAGCCGCCGTGTCCCCGAGCCGCCAAGCACCCGAGCCGCCGAGCCGCCGTGCCGCCGAGCCGCCGTGCCGCCGTACCGCCGAGCCGCCGTGCCGCCGAGCCGTCGTGCCGCTGTGTCCCCGAGCCGCCGCGCCGCCGAGCCGCCGAGTCGCTGCGCCAGTGAGCCGCTGTGCCGCTGTCACACTGTGCCCAGCGGCAAAGCAAACCATCAACATGCATAGCCAGAAAGTGCCCATCCTGGTGCTGCCCTGTCAGGTGCCGCTTTACACTCTCTGTATGCTGACACTTCAGGTGTTTTCGGATCATATGACTCTGTGTTCTCTAGCTTAGGCGTAGCACCTGTGTGTAGTCTAGACTCCACTACTGTGTTAGGCGTAGGACAGCTTGCTTTGTCTAGCCTAGGCTCTACCCTTGCTCCTCCGTCGTCAACCACTACGGCATCGCTGTCCTTCACTCTAGACTCCGGTGCGTCAGTCTGTTTCTTCCGCGACCTCGCCGCCCTCACGCCACTTGCTGCGCCTGCCGCAGTCGCCCTTGCGGACCCCTCCTCTGGTCCTGTAATTGCTCGCAGCTACACTACCCTTCCCTGTCCGGCGGTTCCCTCAGGTTCCCTTACAGGCCTGCACATCTCTTTGTTCTCTAGGAACTTAGTTGGTGTCGGCTGTCTTCACGACCTCGTCGTCACCACTACGTTCCCTGGTCACAAGCGGTATGCGGTCTGTTCCAAGGCCGCCTCATGTGCCCCCCTTGCAACATTCCCCCTGGACCCTGTGTCTGGCCTCTTTACGTTGGACACTGCTCCCCCCTCGGCGGGCGAGTCCTCCTCTGGTTCTGCGTCCACCCAGGTAGCCGCGGCCTGTTCGAGTCAATCACTCACTCACCCGTCACTGTTGTGGCACCACCGCCTATGTCACCCCGCGCTCCCCCGCATGCGTCACATGTCTCAGCACGGTCTAGTCCTCGACCTCCCTACGTCACTCCCTACTCTCCCTCCCTCGCCTGCGCCGCCGTGCACGCCCTGCGTCGAGGGCCGGCTGCGCCGTGCTCCTAACTCCTCACTTTGCCCTGCCACTGCAGCCCTTCAGACCGTGCACTTGGACGTCTGGGGCCCAGCCCCTGTCCCTGGACCACATCGCGAGCGCTACTTTTTGGTGCTCGTTGACGACTTCACGCGCTACACCACGGTGTTTCCCCTGGAGCGGAAGGCTGATGTGCCTGACGTTCTTATCTCATGACTCGTCGCTGTGCGCCTCCACCGCGGTCTCCCTGTGCTGTGTCTCCACTCCGACCGTGGCGGCGAGTTCGCCTCTGGTCAGCTGGGTCAATTCTGTCGTGCGGAGGATATCACGCAGACGTACACCCTACTGGACTCCCCGCAGCAGAATGGGGTCGCTGAGCGACGCATCGGTTTGGTCATGGAGGTGGCTCGTACCTCCATGATCCATGCCGGTGCACCCCATTTTCTGTGGCCGTTCGCCGTTCGCTACGCCGCTCACCAGCTTAACCTCTGGCCTCGCTCTCAGCGGTCAAAGGTTTCGCCGACCCTTCTTTGGACCGGGTTCCCTGGTGATGCATCTGCGTTCCACGTTTGGGGCTGCCTTGCTCACGTTCGTGCCTCTGGCACGGACAAGCTCACTGCCTGCACCATCCCCTGTGTCTTCCTCGGTTTCCCCCTTGACTCATTTGACTGGCACTTTCACCACCCGTCGTCTCACCGCTTCCTTCACTCCCGTGACATCACTTTCGACGAGTCGGTCTCTTTTTTCCTCCGCTTTCCTCACCGAGGTCTCCCGGTTCCCCCCCCCCCTGTTTCTGGTTCCCACTCCCCCAGTCGCCCCTGCTCCCCTCCCTCCCCGTCCTGCTCCATCCAGTGTGTCTCACGTCACTCCCCTCCCGTCGGTTGTTCCGGTCGAGGAGTTGGCTGACTCCGGTGGCCCCGCAGCGTAGTTTGCACCGCCTGTCTCTCCCCTTGTGTCTCCTCCTCCCTCGTCGCAATCGCCACCGCAGCCGCAGCCGTGGATGCAGCCGCAGCCGTTCGTAGACTCTGGGGGTGCTGGAGTTGGAGAGGGTGCTAGTCCTGGGGCTCCAGTCGTGGCTTGTCCCGGCGGGCTCGGGGGTGGCACCGGAGCTGGAGATGTTTCTCGTTCAAGGGGTGCTAGCATGGAGTGTACCGGAGGTAGCACTGGTGCAGCTGGTGGTCCACGTGTCGGCGTTCACTAGCAGCAGCAGCAGCAGTCGCCGCCGGTGTCCGCCCTTTGCCTGCTCGGCCTTCCCTCCCCTGATCGCTCAAGCTTGCTTTCCTGTCAGAGGCTGCTCCCCATCTCTGTTCCATGCTGCTATTCCCTGAGGGTGACCCTGATGCCTTTGACATCCCGACCCCTCGCACCTACTCTGAGGCGACCTCGGGACCCTGGGCCTCTCAGTGGATAGCTGCCATGGAGCAGGAGATGGCATCTTGGAGGGCTACCGGCACCTACGTCGACGCAGTTCCCCCACCTGGGGTGAACGTAGTCAATGGCCGGTGGCTCTTTAAGGTGAAGCGCCCCCCTGGAGAGCCGCCTGTGTTCAAGGTACGCTACGTGGCTAGAGGCTTCAGTCAACGACAGGGGGTGGACTTCTTTCAGACCTTCGCCCCGACCTCGAAGATGACTACTCTTCGGGCACTGCTACACGTAGCAGCTCAGCGTGACTACGATTTACACTCCCTCGACTTCTCCACTTCTTTCCTTCAGGGCTGTCACAGGATCGAATGTGTCGAGGAAAGGTTTGCTCAATGTTGCACGATCAATCAGTACAAGGTGCTTTGATACTTCCAGAGTACATCAGGTAACCAGGTTTATCCTATTCAAAGGGAATAGACCCTTCTAGAAATAGAATCACCATGCGTATAGCCATGCGAGGCAATTGGTTATAAGGGATTACGGCAGGATTACGCTAGATATAGCGCGCCAGTACATCCCGAGCCTGGTCGGTGATATAATTTTAATTACAGGATAAACCAAAGGATAATGGAAAAGGAGGAATAGGAAACCAAATGAGACGAGATAAAGACCAAATGAATCAGGATGAAAAGAGGAATGAGATAGAAAGGAAATATGGAAAGAGAAAATCGGTGTAACGGTATCATACTCTCACAAGGGCAGCCTACACGAGCAGGTCTACCTGCGCCGCCCTCAGGGCTTCACCGCTACTTTCCCTCCTGGGACCCAGCGGCTCCTCCGACGCCCCGTCTACGACTTGCGATAGGCGCCCCGTGAGTGGCATGACACGCTGCGTGCCACGCTAGCTGACCTGCAGTTCTTTTCGTCCTCTGCAGACCCTTCGATCTTCGTTCGTGCTGGCCAGACTCCGTTCTACATCCTTGTCTATGTAGACGACCTGGTCTTTGCTACAGTAGACAGAGAGGCGCTGGCCTACGTGAAGGTTGAGCTGCTGAGGCGACACACCTGCACTAACTTGGGAGAGCTGCGCCGCTACCTTGACCTGCAGATCTCCAGGGACAGAGCAGCGCGCACCATCACTCTTACACAGTCACGCTTGGTGTGTCAGGTCCTTCAGAGGTTCGGTCTTCAGTTTTCCTCCGCACAGCCCACACCTCTGCCGGCAGACCACAAGCTCTCAGCTCCAGTTCTCGTGGAGTCAGCAGAGCCCAGTGGTCCTTACACAGAGCTGGTGGGTTGCCTGATGTACCTGATGACTAGCACCCGCCAAGATCTCGCATACCCTCTCAGCATCCTGGTCTACTTTGTGGCCACAGGCAGACACCGACCACAGCACTGGTCGGCCACTAAGAGGGTTTTGCGTTATCTTGCAAGTACATCGGGCATGGGGCTAGTGCTCAGAGGACGCAGGCCAGTGGTCCTTACTGGGCACACAGATGCTTCTTGGGCAGACGACGCTGAGACCCTCCGGTCCTCCCAGGGCTACTGCTTCAGCCTTGGTTCTAGTGCCATCTCGTGGAGGTCCACTTGCTCCTC